TGTCTTGTTTTTTTATGCAAATTGGAATATACCAAGCCAACACCTATCACTTTTTTCTTTTCGTCCCCTTTCTCGCCGTTTAGGTTATTGTTTTTCCGTGCCAAGGGATGAGGGCGGGGGTTTAATGCCATACCCCCTTGGCACTGGGATGCGATATTATTTCATCATAGTATGTGTTATCCGGATTGCCAGACAACGCACAGTGCTGTGCACACACTTTAGCCCGCTGAGCCACCCGCTCCTTAAAAAAAACAAAAAATACTTTATCTTCAGTTTTAGAGAATACGCTGAGAAATGGAAATATCGTTGTTCTATGCCATGCATTTACCCCAATCAGGGTTGACCATCCTCCCTAATATCCGATTGTGGATGCACTTCCCTCTCCCTCAAGAAAATTTATTACTCTGCTTTTCTTAAAAATTATGAAAATGAAAATGAAATTATAAAAATTGTAGTTTAATATTTTCCTTAGTTTAAAAATTATCTTCAATTGAATATTTGATTACCATCCCAAAATTTACTACGCCGTAAATGTGTGCCCCCGCAGAAATATTTATGACGCAACTGGTGCCATGCAAGTATAAATATGTTCTTTCAGACCAAAATCGTACGAAGTATCTTCTTCCAAAATACAAAAATATTGTGCATCCAGCAATTTCCTTAAACTAAACATAGTATTTCTACAAGGAACAAAAGTAAAAAAAAAAAAAAGTTCAATTATTATCATCAATCTGTTCCGTATTTATGATGCTTTTTAGTCAACATTGAACTTAATCAGGTTGTAGATAAGACCTAAAAGAGCTGGCGGAAAGACGGGCTATCAGAGTACTCCGTTCCGGCTCTGGTTCCACTAAATCGTAGGCGAGGAAGTGACTCACCGATGGCAGATCTCCCAGGAAGCAGGTGTCCCGGGCCTACACAAAGGACTGCTCTGCTTTCAGCTGATTATTTGGCAATTAGGGTTCCTCAGCTGCTTTTCACGGTCAGCTGATCCTTTTAAGTAACAAGTCCTAATGTGCTGTTATGGAATGCTGCGACATTGAATTAGGAGGCCTGTTGTTCCTCCAGGTCGTTATAATTCAATCAATGATCCATTATCTGCACGTCATAAATTGCAAGTAGTTATTTGGCGAGAGCGATTCGGCAATTAATAGGACCTGACAGAGAGGCCCAGAAGGAGATTTTATGGCGTAAGTTGCGCCATAAAAATTATTGAGGAGGGCACATTATGACGGGTTTTTGAATTTTTGAGGGGGAGGGGGGACTTCGACGGCGTTATGAATTATCGGACAAGAACGAAACATACTACAGTCCGTAGCAAGTGTAATTGCATATGATCTACGATTTTTTAATTCTACCTTAGCTTGCTATGTTTTTAAGAAAAAGTGAATAATAAAATATTTTGGGAGGTGGGAGGTTCTTGTGCCATCGATCTTGGGGGAATGAGCATCCCTGGTACATGAAACCATAAAGTAGGTATATAAATCAAAATTTTGCAGGAAACGAATTCCTAAAGTTGACATTTTCATTAACTAGAATCTTAAAGATTTGATTGCTGTCAGTTTGAAACTAATGTTGGGAAATATAGGGTAATGGACTACAGGTTGTTTCCTCCTTTTCTGTCCATGTTTTTACGAACGTTTTGTAGCTCTTGAGGTCTGGGGCATCATTCCTTTTTTATTTTACTTACATACAGGGCATCCTAAAAATAACACCACTCATGACTTTACTCTTGTGATACCGGATAAGGTTTAGCGCTCTTCCTGAGAGAAGAACGGAATTAGTTTTTGTGGTCATTTCTAATTCTCAATCTAATATTCAATAACATAATTATGCTCTATTAAATCTCAATTTAACCAAACATTGTGATTTTTAATGAATATGAAGGAACAACAATAATTCATATTTCTATGGTGCTCATTGTGACTCTTAGGTCGATTATTTGTATGAACTGTATAACTTCATCAAAATACTTCTTTTTCTTAAGTTAGGTATTGAGGTCTGTCAAACCATGGTTCCCACCTATTACCTAATTAAAGACAATACGAAACCTGATTTTATTTTTTTTTATTACTCATTCCTTAAGTAAATTTAAGAATATCTTACTTGCTATTATGGACCTTATCCAATTCTAATAAACTTACAGACTTCCAGTTTTTTTTTTATTCAAAATGTATTCATAGATACTGGGTAGCAGACCTAGAATTGAATTTTAGGGTTCTTTTTTTTTTAATGGTTACTCAGAAGGAAAAAGTAAAAAAAAAAAAAAAATACTCAGCAATGACTAAAAGGACTTTCTTTGGTGCATAATCCAATTTTTTTTTGTTTTTTAGAAAGTGGGTTGTTACTCAGAGCAACAAGTGATAAACCAAGTTTACAAGTTCAAATTCTGGTGCCAGTGGACTTTTAACTCTGGTATAATTCCCCCACCGTCTTCTCTGGAGCAGGAAAAAACCCATACAGCCTAAAAGGTGAGGAAGAGGAGAAAAGAATAAAAAAAGGTATTCATTGTTTATGATGAATTGATGGCATTAAATAATATTCTAATAATCATTTCAGAACTTGAGAAACAACAGACTTTATTACTGGACAAGTACATTTAACCTTATTTACTTACTAAGTACTCCTAAATGTTACATGCGATAAAACAATAATGTTATGTTTTAGCTTTTTATGCCAGAAAATTGGATCATATGAATGAAAAGCAATGGGTAACAAAACAAACATGGATTACCTAGACAAACTGATTTTCCAGAAAATCAAAATTAATGATTTTCTTTTTATTAAATAACAGAAAAACAAGTTCAGAAGTAAACATCAGAAATTTTAGCAATAGTCAAATGAAAAGTTTTAACCAATTGCTGCCAATAGAAAACTATCAGAAAATGCGAAGGAGGCCTTACAGACGACAATATCACAATCATTTATACTTATTTTAAATCAGCAAATGTGCTGATAGGTTTCTACGGCATGGTCAGTTTACCTTGTTTTAATTAACAAGTCAGCTTTGTTAAATAAATCACAAATTAACAATCAGTCATTATTTGCTATCTTATTATATTCCTTACCACCTAGTTACATATGAATCCATCCGCATTAATATAAATGTGAGCCCAAATAATGGCATGTAAAAATGTCAATAATGTAACATATAGAAATTTAGAGTATTGTAATTGTTAATGTTTTTTGTCTTTTCTGTAACAATAAATGATTAAAAGCAATTTATCTACACAGCAATAAACATATTCTGTTCCACTAAATGTTGGGGGCCACATCCGGCTCCATAACCATGCCTTATAATCATTTTCACTCTTAAAACATCTTCAGTGCCTTAAGAACTAAAGCTATCTTAACTATTAGCTAAGCCCTAATTTTTAATTCCAAATAATTTAAAGGTTATTAATGTATTTTGAGAACAAGAGGTAACCAATTTGAATCATTTATAAAAACACAATTTATGAATATTTGAGAAACATAAGTAGAGAAAAATATGAAATTTACCATTATATAAATCAATCTTTATAAATTACTAGATGTCATTTAAATAACATGGACTGATACAGCAGTGAAATAAGGCATGTGAGCCTCACATGGCTCCACACTTTCATTGAACAGGATACATTAATTTAAAATTAACTAGATTTTATTAATTAATTCCAAAATAATCTTTTAAAATGTTAACCTTACAACCACTTCCAAATAAGAAAAAAAAAGAACGATACAAATTAATTTGTAATGTAATTTCTAATAAATGATTACTTAATCCTGACCATTGTCTACACTATCTCACTCACAAATAATTAACATAGCCTTATATATATAAATTTTATAAGGGGAACAAATACTATTATAAATATAAATAAATTAATTTTTTTTTTACATAGTACAATCGATTGTAATGTTCTTTAAATCAAATGTTCTATTATACAAGCAATTTGTATTTATTCATTTAAAAAAATTGCATTTTAATCCAAAACTGCATACAAAATAAGATATTTTAACATAAATGAGGTTCACACATTACGAATTTGTCGGTCATTTTATTTATCAATCCATATTCATATAATATATAATTAGGCATTTGAAAATACATTTGTGCAATGAGTAAAGATAACAAAATTTTATGAAAAATGGAAAATTTAATTCGACACTGTTCCAACTTATAATAAAACCACATTGTGGTCAATTAATAAATCCTTATATATTTTTACATTAAAAAATAAAAAACAAAAATAAAGAATGTACAAAATTCGTAGCATCTATACAATACTTAAATACTTATGCTTTTTTTTTTTTCTTTTTTTTTTAAATCCCTGGTTTATTAATCAAAAACCAATATTATTAAGATAGGAATTCAAATCAGAGACAGACTATAAAAATAAATTGTTGAAATATATTTACTACAATGATGCAGTTATAAAATTACATAAATATATTTATATATATTTTTTTTTCAGTTTTAAGATATTATAGTCAACAAAAATAAGAAAAATTTAAACAACAAATCAGAATTTGACTATTGCTATGAGTATTTAGATTAAGAGATATTGATAAATCAAATCAATAACAAAAAATAATGACTTTAAAAAAGAAAAAAATATTAAAATAAATAACAAGTATAATTGCAGGGGATGATTCTTTCTGGAGACTACAAAACATTATTTGATGTATGCCTTGTATTAGATAATAAATTAAACAATCCCAAAAAGATATAAATTACTTATATGCTTTTTAAGCATTATAAGATTCAATTATAAAATTTATTTTAAAACTGCTAAGTTTGTAAGTGCTCCTAAATATTTTTGAACTGGTTGACAACGAGGTTAAATCTCGAATTTCCAAAACAAGATGCAACACTCAGGTAGTGTCAGTCGAGTTCTAACAAAGGTGTAGGATGTGAGCATTTATTATTTTAACGAATAGAACAAACAGTTTGTCCTTTCCCCCTGAGATGTTTTTAAATTTTTAATCACTCAATCGATGTTGTTTTGTTTCTCTCTTCAATCATCGCCTACTGCTCTTTTTGCTTTTCTCTGCCGGGGGCTGGCTTTGGGCGACTTGCTTACTCTCGATGACTTTGGGTCTGCAAAAATGCAAACATTAATTAACAAATGCAAATAAATATATAGTAATAATAAAAATATAGTAGAGTAGAATGTTAAATTGGAATTTTAAGGAACCACCTCACCATCATGAGCTCCTTTCTAGGATTGGATAACAATCGAAGGCAAGTGAAATAAAACATATAGGAAAACTAGGTAGAATAGTGAAATATGAATCTTTCAGTTGAAAGAATGGCAAACTCCAATTTCAACATTTTTTTCATTAATTTCCTAGTATGGGTTCATTACTGTGTAGGAGAGCATCCCACAGGTGGCGAATGTGGGGATGGCCAGTGGATCCCCGATCAGGACTACCTTAGGGGATTCACGGCACAAGTTGAAAACTAGAGTTTTAAGTATATAAGAGAAATATGCTAAGGACATTTATTAATTAAAAGGAAAATTCTGTAACAAAAATATCATCAATGCCTTAAGCCATGTGTTATTATTTTCTTTGGGATGTTCTAGTTTATTTGCTTTCAAATAGCAGTCACCCTTTCTGGACACTGAATAATGTGAAATGTAGAACTGATTTGCAAGTATAAGCCCATAGTTAAAAAAGTAAAGGTCTGAATCCACCACATAAATTTTTTAAAGTTATTCAGTCTTTGAAGGTTGGTATCATCAAGAATACAATTCTTTTCTAACAGCTCATAACAGACTCAATTAAAACATTATTTCATATACTACACACAATTTTTTTTTACTATTGTTATTAATAATCAAAATGCATCTTTCAAAACTAAAAAGGTGAAAGTATAATCAACATCACCAAAGGGTATAATAACACATATAAAACAGCTCAAACATTCCCTAATATGATTAGTATTAATTATACACATAAATAACCAAATACAATAGTTCCATTCTATTTTTTTTAAACTTCTCATACTAACATAATAGTGATGTATATTAATAACTAATTCCAACATGCAAAAAAGAAATCATACAAAATTTAAAAGTTAAAAAAAATTACATTTAAGCACAGGGATGAATACATTCTAAACTAACAGATTTAAAAAGGTATTAATAAACAAAAATATAAAGTCATAAATGATTACCCTAATCATAGTTAAGGTAAAATAATTATTAATAAATTATGTTTGATAGTTTAAGAGGTGTATTATAGAGGTGAAATGGATTACTAAAAGTGTGTGGATAATCTTTTTAAGATGGGTTTAGGGCTTATCCACAAAAACTTATGGTTTAGTTTTATTACATGACAATTATCAACATCAAAGGAATACAGAGTCAATAAAAACTAAATTAAAGCCTCACATCTTAAAAAGGATTTCCAATACACAGATTACTTTTTAAAAAGTCAATTCTGTGCCTCAACATAAAGTAAAGTAAGCTAGAAACCCAACCTCAATTGCACGACATCCGTTTAATCCAGACGAGAATTTTAGGAAATATTATTAAATTTAGTAAACTATAAATTTAATTTAATGAATAATAACTAAGAAAATAATTTTAACAGAGGAAATAAATTACTTAGTTATTTAAGATGAAAAACTATTGAAAAGACAGTTGAGGCAACAGAAGCATGTTAAAAAAAAATTAAGGTGTGTGCTTTAGACCACACGATATAAGTGAGAACACCAACAAGGTGAAATTAATAATATGAAATATAAATTATAAATAATAGCAATCACAAAGAAGATGAAATGCTGAATATTTCCCTCGCAAACAGTATGCAGATCCAATTTTTATTTCTGAAATATTTTATGTTCAACTAACCTTACCATTAGGTTTTCAACACCATTTTTTTCCTTTTAGCCTCCCTAAAGCGGCACCACGTTAAGATACAATTTTGAATTGTAGCCTATTTCAGAGAGGATGAAATGTTGAACAATTTCCTTGCTTACAGTATGGAGGCCCGATTTATAGTTTTTGAGATATATTAAAAATATTTTAATTTGTCGACTCTGGCCGACTTTACCCGAGCGTTAATGCCGAATCTAATTCACTCTCCACAAAAGTACGGAACGCGCCTAAAGAAGCTTTCACTTCAAAAACAAAGCAAGAAACTAAACTTCGAATCAGATTTTGTCCATTTTATAGTAAAAACAAAAATTATCGATTTTATCAGTAATTCTAGAGCAATAGTTCTTGTTTTTGTAACATCTTATACATCATTTTGTTTAATAGTTCTGGTCAACTTCCTTATTATAATTCTTAATTTTTACATTGTAAGATCAATGTACCATGCTTTGTTTTCTGATACTGAACAATAAACAAAATTTGAGTTTTAATCACAAAGATTTTCTGTTTTTCAATATATATCTTTGTCTATAGATCAAAAATTGAGAGCTAAATATATATATTTTTATATATTATAAAAATGACTCAATATTATATATATATTTATATAATATTGAGATGAAAAAAAATATATAGAAGGTTAGGGAAATAATATAAAGTATCAGAACCAGAACAATTTAATCTAAAGCTAAACAAATAATCATCAAAACATTGTTTTAGCATCGGTATTGTTATATTTCAGAATAGATTAGGTGAGGTTAAATTCAAGACTCCATTAATTCTTGACTTAGTATAATATGACATGAGAACTTTAACCATTGATAAAACAAATCTATTCACTACCCATGCTACTACTCATACAAAACAAAAAAAAAGGCAAACAAATAATTAAAAGATCAACGTACAGAAACTAACATAAAAGTGCATTCTACATATCTGAATCTACAATTCCAAGTCATAGGTGGTTTTGATAGATCTAAATACTATAAATCAAAAAGAAAGAAAAGAAGAAAGAAAGATGTTCCTACTAATAGTTGATTACCTCGCCCTTTTTATGCTTGCGCCTTTTTCCCTTTGTATGCTTTGAATTCTGATGACCATTTTCTGCAAAAAATGTGCTTGACAAAGAGAGTATATTGGCAATACAAACTTGTTTAATTTTTATTTAGTTCAGGATTTGAGTAGCCACTTCTCATAAAATTTTCTTAATTGCCGACTTCCAATATTAGGAAATTTTTTTTTTTTAAACGTTCGGATTGTAAACAGACAATTAGTGGTAAAATAATTAAAATGTGAAAAAGGTTTGATTTAAAATGGATCAGAATATATATAATAGTTTAGTTATAGGATTTCCAATTTCTACATTAATGCTAAACCAGTCCATCCCATAAATACTTTCAGTTTTTGAACAATAAATTAAAATTTATATTTACAGTTATAGTTTTTTTTTCCACCAAGATCATTGGTGGGAACTACTTTTTCACTTTCTGACTCCAAAAAGATAAATATGTTCAAATTTCACATTCACAGTAAATAGTGAGTTTTATAAAGATAATTATTAATAGATAGTTATAGATAATTATTAAGCAAAAAATAGATCTCCAGTACAAAATATATATATATATATATATTTAAATATTGACAAATAAATCATTACCTCAAGATAATAGGATTTAGTTAAATAAAAAGGTATTAATGATAAACCATCATTAATAATGAATGGGATTATCAGATATTTCCGTATTTGTTTTACTCACGTGAGTTGCCTACTTTTTTATAATATATGATACTCGTAAACAAAATCTGATAACAACAAATATTTATTTGTGACTTCTCATATTGTATTTATAACAATACAAACCTAATTGCAACTTCTTTCAAGAATAAATTTTACTACAAATATAATAAATTAATATTATCAAGAATATTTTTTGTGACATATTAGTTATAATTTCACGAGCTCAAGCGACTAAGGTAAATAGAAGTGAACTAATTTCATTTCTATTTAAATCAACATCCAAAATATAACATATATATATATATATATATATATATATATATATATATATATATATATATATATATATATATATATTATATATATATATATATATGTTATATTTTGGATATTGATTTAAATAGAAATGAAATTAGTTCATTTCAATTTATCTTAGTCGCTTGAGCTCGTGAAATTATATATATATATATATATATATATATATATATATATATATCAAAAAGTTTAAGAAAACATTATTTTTAGGAATTAAGGTTTTAAAAAATCTCAAAACTTAACACAAAAATAAAAATAGATAAGGAGGAACAGATAAGAGAGTAAATATTTGATATAGAGTAAGAGTTATTAATTTTGATCTTGGAATAGAAAATATTTAGCAGCAACTCTCACCTATGCAATTTTATTTCTTTTACAAATTTTTCTTTGAAATAAGAAATCTTTGACAGAGCTACATTCAAGATAACTCACATTCTTGCCTTGGATACCAATAAGCATTTGGACAACAAATAAGTGTTTCCTAGAAATTGTTTATGTGCCATATTTTACTTGGAATCAGTATGTATTAAATTTATAGGTTTTAATAATATAATATGATACTTGTTAGACATCATATTATATTTTAAAATTTTGAATAAAATTTGTTTGTTAGACCAAAATCCTTAAAAGTAATATTGGCAGTCAAGATTTAAACCAACAAATAATTTCTATTTTTGTTAATCCATAGTTTTTGTTTCAAATATTAATCATTCGTAATAATCATGATTCATAAAAATTTGCACAGGTAACAGTCCACTAAGCCACAAATTATCAAAAGTTTGCTATTATGACCTAGAAAATCATTATTGAATGTAACCCTTTAAATTGATATGAAATTTTTTTTTTATAAAATCTCACGTTATACCAACAAAAATATTGTTCAATAATTGATAATCATTGGTTGAATGGAATTAGTACACTTACCAAGAACATATTCGTTGTAAATTTCTGAGGGGAGCCAGTTGTAGTCGACATCGTTGTGGCTTGATGTACCCATTTCGATATGTTTTTTGCTAGCAGAGCTCGTGCTAGTTCCCCTTTTCTTACCAACGGAGTAGAGGAACTGCTGACCGACGACTAACATTAGCACAACCAAGGCGCCAAGGAACACATACAAGAAGAAAGTCTCTCCATCAAGGCCTTCGTCGAGTTCAATGATGTTGACAGTCTCATTATACACTCCTTCATAGAACTGGTTTCCATTCTACATACAATTAAATAATATGTTAGGCATACCTTGATTACAACAATAATTAAGTGGCAGGTCTAGATTGACTCAAAGCACATAAAGTAAAATTGTTTCAATTAAATTTCATTGATAAATAATAAGTAATAAGAAAAAAACAATAATAAAAGTCAGTCAAAATTAAATATACAGCTGAAAATTCTATACACCTATAACATATAAACATGTTTTTTTGTTCCTTTTTATATAGATAAATGTAAGCAATGAAATTAAAAAACAAAAACATATACATGAAATTATACTTTTAGATACTCAAAAAACATTTTTAAAATTAAATATGTGTTCATGAACATTTGAAAGAAATGAAAAGAAACACAACTCATAAATATTATAATGGTGCATAAATATGCAAGAACTAATTTATTAACTAAACCTTGAAAACTTCACTGTCATTGTTAATAGCACATAATACACAAGCAGAAACTGTTTTGTATAATTTTTTATATATAGTTTTAACTGAATATTTCAATATACCTTTCTCATACCCAAGTGGATTTTAATTTTATTTTTAAAGCAATTTGATACCTTCAAAGTTATTTAACAATTAAATACACACCATGTTAGGATCAAACAATTTTTTGAAGAAAATAGTCTAAAATTAAAAATTACTACTTAGGATTTTAAAACATTTTATATAAAAAAGGAATTATTCAAAAACGATGTTGAGACACAACGCTGTATGGTTTGGAATTTTTCCAATTATAACCTAACATTTATGTTCTCTCTCATGATTAGTTTGTTACTAATTTATGTTAATATTAATAACAAGAATGCTTTTTATAGTAAAATATAGAACTAAACTAATATGTTTTCAATGTTGACTGACTATCGTCCTTGACTTCATTTTTAATTATCCAAACATCATATATATTGACAAAAAAATGCTTAAAAGAAACTAATATTTTTATAATCGTAGCCTTTTTAAAATCACGATGCAAATACAAGTTGGAGATGACCTTGCACATTTGGAAGTTAACACTATCATAAATTAAGTAGTAATTATAAAGTGGCATACCAGGTCTCTGTATCTCAGATTGACACTCAATCCAAAAGGCCTTCCAGCAAAGGCTTCTGCTGGCATAAAAGAGTAAAAAAGAGTTGCTTCTTGATTAGGTGACACATTACGCTCATATGCAAGAGTGGAGAAATTTTGAATGTAGAAATTGAAATCCATTGGATACCTGAAAGAGGCATCAAGTGTTTCTAAGACAAAATCTTGTGAACCCTTGTTTTTGAAACCAACAAGGAATTCCACTAGAACACCTCCTGGCAACTCTGAAAAAAAAAAAAAATAAAACATTAATAACAGATAGTACTAGAACTATCACTGGTTCAGAGAAAAGATTTTAACATGTAGGCCTATTTTATCTTTTGATGAGGCTGTCGCCAAGTCACTAATAGTGAGATTGTCAAGTTTTATTTCCCGAAACCATCACAAAATAAATATTGACTCCCCCCTTACTAATGGCAATATCACATAAAAATAAAACGAAAGAAGGTTTTAAAAAACATCTTAAATTTATAGATGGAATTGGATCCATCTATAAATTGGGTGAAACGATGCCATTGATGAACTCAGAGCTGGTTTAGAAACTTACCCACAAATAAAATTTGGCATATTTCAATAATCACATATTGTTAAGTACAATTCATTGAGTAGAAAATTAAGCCAACTTGATTCATTTTTATTTTTAATTTATAACAAATGTTATCAATTTGACAATTTTCAGTACAATACATGAAAGTAATAGCAGTCACGAATTGAAGATAAGAAACTTTAATTTTTATCGATGATGCATATTTCAATCCTATGGAACACAGATATAAGATTTCCTAGAATTTTATTTAAGAAATTGTACTATTACATATATTATCAACAGGATGATTGCGTATTTTGTGTTCAGAAATAACATTTGTTGTATTTTAGTAATCATAAAACATTAATGAAAACTGCAGGAAAAAAAACATTTATATTTCATTCTTCCCAATTTCTGTTTTACAATTAATTAATACAAAATACAGATCCATAATTGTGGATTGATGGTTGACTGTAGTGAATAATTGAAGAGAAGGATGGTTGGGGTGATTAATAAAAAAAAACAACAAGTATATTTATTTTTATTTTTTCCGGCGTTTCGGTACAAAGTTCAGGCCTTCATCAGGGCCTATAGTCCAACGAAAGATTTTCGCGAGTAATCTCTCTTGGTCTTGCGGAAATCTTTTGTTTGACCAGCCCTGATGAAGACCTGAATTTTGGGTCTAAACGTCAGCAAAAATAAATATATTTTTCTTTTGAGTGATCACCCCAAACAAACTTCTCTTCAAAATACAGATCATTATATTTACTTTTAGTTTCCCTAAACATTAAATAAATATTAAATGTAAAATCTTTTTACAATGTTCCTCAGAGTATAAAAGCATAATGAAAATAATAATTCCTAAAAAATTATAAAGAGTCGTGATTTTAATGTTAAAGCCTCACTGATTTTAATTCATAGACTTAATAAAGAATTCAACAATGATTCTAATCCATAAGGAAACCCTGCTGTCAACAATAATTGATAAAGAAAATAAAACTCATGAAAAATAAAGTTGTTCATAATGAAAAAAGTTAAATAATTAATTTTAGGAAACACTTCATTTTAACAGTAAACTTGGAACAAATAAATAAAAATATTATATAATATAAATAAAATTTCTAATGTCCTAATAAATATTCATCAGGATTACAAAAAGAATAAAAAATCAAATTGTTAGTATAGAAAACTAAGACTACAGAATATAAAACGGAGAAAAAATGACAAATTTAAGAGCAAATAAATATTAGGAATATAGATCACGACCTTATACAATCCCCTCCCTATAGTCACATGGACTGCAGCTTTCTATTTCAAAAGTACAACTGTGCATTATATGTTATAAAATATTGGCAATAGAATGATCAAAACAATTTTTTTCTAATTTTCATTATACAAATAAAACTGATCATGATCATTACACCAATGACATTATTTTACAACTTGCTGGATTCGATAAATAATTGACTAAATAGTTCAAATAAATATTTAATCAACATAACATTGGTTGAAAAAACTATTAGAACACCTTAAAAAAATTGAAATGTTTCAGATGTAAACACAACCTATCAAATGTCCTAGTCAGAGATAACACTATCAAATATGCTTCATTTTCTTTCAACTCTCTTCATCTGACTGTTGCGATGTAAGATAATCACTAAATAATAACAACAGTAATGCATAATCAAACTTACCCATTATGGTTCCAGGTACTTGAGCAGGTTTTGTGAACAATATTGTAGTATCTGCATCAGGAGATCCTGTAGGTTTATCTTGTGCCTCTTCTTCCTCAGGTGCATCCTCACCAACAACTGCAGTTTCCTCTCCTTCTACATCAACCATTTCATCATCAACATCATCTTCTTGTGCTTTTGCTATTCCACCTTCAACATAAAATAACGAAAATTAAAAATTACAGAAACTTTTAATCACTAAAAATGGATAGAATTATGGACCATTCATTCTAACGTGAAGAGCAATAATAAGGAATAATATTTTTAAATATTCAAATAAGGAATCTCATTACACAATTTTTACTTAAAATATCGTACTCATTTCACTGAAATGAAGGTAAAATATATTTTCCTAACCTCGACTGACAGTAGAAATTATAGCTGGAAGAGCAATTAAAAATACTAAATAGATGAGCTTCATCCTGGGACTAGATGTGAACTATAGACGATCTAAAACAGCAATGTCACATATCCCGAAAAAGTGAAACGTAGCCCTAACAGCGTCCACTAGGGATGTTGTTATACTGTTGGACGTGGAGCCAGGAGGTAACACATGGCAGGAAATATACCAACTTAGGAAAAATTAAATTTTACAACCATTCACAATATACGACCATTTGTAATAAATACGTATAAAAATCAATTCTATCTCATTTTTAAAACATAATAAAATATAAAAATCTATTATTTTTTCAAAAATGAATTTTAAGCGTCAATAACTTGTCGGCATTCCTGTAAGGTGGGAGGTTAAGTAAGGCTATATGTTTCAAAAAAACCTCTTGAGTGGATTTTCTTAAGGAAAACTCAGATATATTCTGTTTGACTTTATGATTGTAATTGTTAAATCAATTTTTAATTCAGTCCACAGTACTAGTTCACAACTGTTCCACCTAAGGACCAAACTTTCAGTTGTTTTAATTTTTAAATAATGGTTGTTTTCGCCTGTCAGAATGATAGTTTTCTTAAAGAAGTAAGTTATCTAGTAGTATGATAGCTACTGCTATCATCACATAATCAAATACTGAAGGTCATATGTTTCCCTCTGACAACAGAATCAATAGTATAAGCCCTAACTCTTAATTCTCAGTTTTTGTTTCTCATTTTTATCTTGAAGATTACCAGATGACAAGACCATATCCTCAATGCAGATGCTAACTATAGAATACGAAAATCAGCACTAACATCAATATAAATTCAGCCCAAACAGGGAGGATGTTTTAATTTCCACAGTATATGATTGTTTGAAGGTTTTGCATTAGCTCTTTAAAAGTATTTAATTATAATTACAATCACTAGAGTGCAGGATTGAACAATTTTCATATTCCATAGTTAGCATTTGTAACAGCGATATATCATAAGTATTTATTTAGGAGAGAGGAAGAAGTGGGGCATTTGTCCTCAAAAGATACCTTGCTTAATTTTGGAATATGAATTTGATATATTTTTATTTATTATAGTCCATAATTTTAAAATATTTTATGCTGTATATTCATGAGACCAAAAACTACTAAAATACTCTTGTTTTCTTAATCCTTCCTTTTTGGTAAATTAAAGATTATTCAATTTTTATTAAAATTATGTATAATTACCATAGAACTCTTTTTTTTTTTTTGTTACGTACATCACCATTTCTGGCATACTTAGTTGGCGAGTTGTCCTAGAGGTACAACCAAACCTATTCTAACCAGAATGGGAACATCAAGATTCATTCCGTGGGTCCACCATAAAATAAATTTCCAATCTGTCTTTCTAAACTTAGCAACGATAAATTGAATAACACTTTAATACGCTCAGCCACTATGTCCTCTTTCTTGGCGTGGAACTGGTTAAATAGTTTCTACTAGTCATATATTTTCAAATTTTAATATGGTGCAACATCCCTCAACTGACCTCTTGATTTCTTTTCCTTTGCTTAATTATTGTTTTTGCATTTTAGTCTTATTATTAACAATTGAAATGGGTAATTGTTTAGAAAAACTAAAGTTTATCAGAAAATAGAAATAAAAAAAAAAAATAGCTTCCACTGTTTCGTTAAAAGTATAAGCATAGACATTTTATTTCAATCAAGTATTGTATGGTTTGTCATTTGTCAAAAGTTGCCTCCCTCTGGTTTTGGAACTCTAAATGCAATACCATTTAATCATAAGTCCTTATTTTTTTACGATAATTTATATGATACTGTTTAGTTATTTCCTTTATCCTAAATTAGTTCTTTGAACTTTAGCTCTATTATCATTGCTAACTAGTTGGAAGAAAATATTTTTTGGTGCCATTGCACTTGTTACTGCATTAATAATTTGGTTTTCCTTTTCTGGTTGCTTGATAATGATTTTGTTTTCACCAAATCATTATTAAGCATCATTTTTATATGTTTCTTGGTTTTTCTAGTTTTCTTCCAAGGTAATATCATGTGATGCAGCTGACTTCAAAACTGTTGTTAATGGTAAAAAAGAAACTTTAAAGGGCTATGATGTGATTTTAGAAGATACCATCTTATTCCCTGAAGGAGGTGGCCAGGTGAAAAACAAATAAATGTATACATTTTTTCTTTGTTTAAAACTTATTATTTTGTTTATATATGTATGTATATATATATATTTTACAGCCATGTGATTTTGGATTTCTTGATGATATTCCTGTATTGAATGTGCGACGGAATGGTAGTGAAGCTGTCCATTTTGTTGAAAAACCAATTGAACCTGGTCAAGCTGTTAAACAAACTATAAACTGGGACCGAAGATTAGACCATATGCAGCAACACTCTGGTTAGAATATAAAATGAATATTGTATAATACAAAAATAGGTTTTATTTAGTTAATTAGTCAAATATATATATATATATATATATATATATATATATATATATATATATATATATATTTTAAATAATCTTATTTAGACTTTATAATAATTTAATTTATAAAAATTTATAGCAAACTTGTCCAATCTTTTGTAAAAAAGACTTTATGTTATTACTTATGCAATACCTTCCTGTCAGTGAAAAAAATGAGCTTGACAATAAAATATATAAATAATAAAGAAATTTATATATATTTTTTTTTTAAGGGCAACACTTGATTACGGCCATAGCTGATACAGAGTTTGGTTATGCCACAACATCCTGGTGGCTTGGTGAAGAAATTTCTCACATTGAGTTTGGTAAACAAAATTTCTCATTTAAAATAAAACTATAATTAATGGACCTAAATTTAAAAAAAAAAATAATACATAATATTTTTGAAATAATTCATAAATGAATATTTTTATTTTACAACATGTAAGCTTTGTAGGTGACAAACCCTTGGTAACTTTATCCACATTAAATTTGTCGAGAATGTCATTAAAATATTTTCTTGATTCTTCTTATATACAGAATGTTTCAAGATTAAGTGGCCAAATTCCAAAAATGAACTATGGCCCTCAAAACAAGAACAAAAAATTAATAACATTAATTAAAAATTAAAACCAATAATTAATAACATTTGACGAAAATAACAGAAATGGAACAAAAATAAACAATAGAATAACTCAAAACTTTGATGAGATAAGAAGGGAGGTTATGTGATGTATCATTAAGGTACTATTTCGCTGGCACGGTCCACGACCGCGACTGCTTGCAGTTGACCACTGCTTTAATGGAATAGAAAGGAACATATTTCGCTGGCGCTGCTCGGCAGTCTAGGTATGACGTCATATCTAAGCTGCTCGTATCTGACTCCTCTAGAAGCAGTGGAGCTGTTGGTGGTTCGGCGGTTGTAGGTTATGTTATCATATCAGAACATTGTTTTGATGATAACAGTCACGCGTCGATACATTTTATTTCCTATGTTTCTGTCAAGTCTGGCAAAATTATAACAAATATTGTTTAAAACTGAAACAATGCAATAGTAAATTATTTTTTTAAGGTTGAAGTAGCAAGATTATTCATTTATTTATTCCACCAGAAATAGTTTACAGCAAAATACAAATATACCTAAATCCAAACGATATTAAATAAATTAAAGAATCCAACAAATTTTATCGTCAGGTAAATACTAAAATCCACCCATTGAAAATCGATTTGTATTTTTAATTAAAGTGGTGATTTACTGATTACTATTGATAAAACTATAAAACATCGCCTGCTGGGATTTAATTACAAATGTATGATATTTACTAATAATCAATAATGTATTAATTACTACTACTTTTCAAACTAATAATATCTAATATCAGAGGGACTTTGATGATGAGCATCACATCGAAATACTGATATTCCTTCTCTTTATGAACAACATTTTCTCTTCTTTTTCCAACTCAAATAAAAAAGCGGTAGTCAGAGATGTTCATTTTTATTATTATATTATGTCCATTTTTTTATCTTCAAAGATACAGCGAAATGTTCGAAGGTTATAGGCAGGTTAAAACAACTTCAGTGAGCAGTTTCAGCGAAATAGTTACGCTAACAGCGGTTGGCAGCGTGGAATAGCGGTCGTTGTCGTGGACCGCGCCAGCGAAATAGTACCTTTAGAATAACAAGGTAGGTTTCGTCCAGGCCTCCTAATGGACTATTAGTCATTCTTCTTAGCAATAAACTCTGTGTTTCTGTAGAAAGAAAAAGAGTTTAAGTGATGAATTATATGTAAATATATCATTATGTGAATCATTTTAAATAATATGTAATTTTACATAAAAGGTTATCTGACTGTTTTTGGGACATAAGTTGGAATCGGAGGGTTTTAAATGTAGATAGGGAGGGAGAATGTCGAATTTTGATAGGAAGGGAATTCCAGAAATTAACATAGCGAGTAATAAAGGAGTTTTAGATCGAGGCAGATCTGCGAGAAGGAATGTAGAAGTTGGAAGGTCGAGATCTTGTGAAAAGGGAGTGGACTGAGGACTTGAATTGGAGAAGGTTGTAGGCGTAAGAAGGACGATGATTGTTGATGATTTGATAGAGGAACGTACCTAGGAAATATTGTCTTCGAATGGAGAGAAAGAACCACTTTAACTCAGAGTAGTGGTGAGAATCATGGGAGTATCTCGGGGGCATCAATTACAAATCTTACGCAGCTGTTCATAAGTCTTTTCAGTCTATCACGGAACTCCACCGAGAGTTCATCATACACAGCTGTAGTCAAAGTGGGGGAAAATGAGAGAGGGAACCAGGAGTCTACGTGTATGTTGAAGTAGAAGATAGCGGAAGCAATGGAATAGTTTGAGGGTAGAAATTGTCTGTCGGGAGATGTGAAAAACATGGTGATTCCAGAAGAGGGTTTGATCAATGAAAAATCCTAAATTTTTGACAGGAATACAAGGAGATTGGCTGGTCATCAAGGTTTAGTATTGGGAAGTCGGTATATGATCTAAGAAGGAGCTTGGAACCAATGACAATGGCCTGAGTTTTAGCAGTATTTAACCTTAATCTGTTTTTTACCCAATCCGATTAATACCTAATAGGCATATAAGCTACTCGCACTTAGTTTAAGCTATTCTATCAATTACCATTTTATTTCTTACTTATCTAAAATACTTAAAAATATATATGAAAATAAAAAGGCTAAAAATGAAGACTCAAACAATGAAAATCTTTAGGTGTGAATATCTCCTTAACAAAGCATTTGCGTACTTACCTCCATAGGCTTCTTTTTTTTTCTAGTTTTGAGGTCTTAATTAATATTTTCAGTTTGGCCACTTAACCTTGAATCTCCCTGCATATATAAAATTTTAAATATTTAATTATTTAAATTTTTTTTTTGTAGATACACAGGAAATTACTGAAGAACAGATAAACAAATTGGAATATTTAGTGAATGAGAAAATTAGACAATCCCTGCCTGTTGATGTGACTGTTTATGAAGAAAATGATCCTTTCTTAAGTGAGGTATAGATATTACAGAATAAATAATTTAGTTTGCTAGTGTTTAAATATAATTAACAAATCTTTTGAACATTTGGTAGACAAGGACAAGAGGACTTCCAAAAGATCATGTAGGAAGTGTAAGGATCGTTACGATCCATGGCATTGAGAGCAACATGTGCTGCGGAACTCATGTTTCTAACCTAAGTCAGTTGCAGGTATATTTTTTACTTAAAACATTTTTTTTTTTAACAATGGCCAGTCTAAAATTAGATTTTAAAACTAATGATATATCTGAATAACATATGGTAGTCGAAAGTGGGAAACCTCGTAACTGTTGAATCCCAAAATTTCATGAGAAATCAAAATTGGAAAAAATATTATATTTTTATATATTGAGGTTTTATTATTATTTTTTAAAATATGTTGTACCTATCAATGATATATTATCAATTTGAAAAACTAACAAATAATTGTTTTGAATAAAATTTATACTACAATAAATTAACTGTAAATCAAAACATTTTGAACTTTATACTTTTTATGATAAAATATAGAACATCCTTGTGGAATCGCGTATATCCCCATATTCTTTTGTCAATAGTGATCAAAATGATGGGAAAGAAGCTTGCAGCTGTTGTAATTGTTATACCCATTTTACACTATCCATCTAAATTTCCTTCAGTAACTCTGCCTTAAATCTTCCAAAAAAACTTGTGGGGTGCAGACCCACAAATGTTTTAGTTAATTTTTATAAACCATACAATAGATAACAAAATACCACCTATTCTTCCTCTCTAATGATTTTTCTGTCCCTGAACAAGCTGACTCTGTTTAAGTACAGTCCGTAACTGAGTCTTACACATGTTTTTTTTTTTTTTGTTTTGTTATTTAAATAATATATTTCATTAATTAACTATTTGAATTCTATTTATTGAATTTGATATGGAATACTCTGTTAATAGGCTATCAAGTTGATGGGAGCAGAGAAAGGAAAGAAAGGCAAAGTGAATCTAATGTTTTTGGTTGGAGGTCGTGTATTAAAGAGGTTATCGACCATGTTTGAAAGAGAGCAGGCCCTCACTGGCATCCTCAAGTGAGCACATCTCTACTTTTTCATTTATGTATGTGGTTAGAAATCTTTGTGGAAAAGATAAAACTCTAAATTTCAATATCATTAATTTTTCTTATAAAAATTAAAAATAGATTTAAATTAAGCTATGAGATTATAAAAGAGTATCACTAGTCTCAAACACAAAACTGATCCTTTTTTTTTTTTATTCTGTAAAAATGTCAGCCATTAATCCATTCACACCAACTTCAGGAAAGCAAACTTTTGTTAAATATAAACTATTTCTAGTATTAGAAAAAATTGTTATACCATAATTTTTTAGAAACATTCATGGTATACTGGTGTGCATAAAGTGTCCATTTTTAGAATTGTTTAGTTCTATATGTCTGTAATATCCCTAAACCCAGGGATACCCAGAAGGGGGTTTCGTGAAATGAAAATATTTTTTATTATCCTGGGACTGATGTCCCTTTAGGACAAATTATAGATATAGAAAAAATGCCTGTGTGGCCATACATCAAATTAAATATTTACAATTCTCATTAAAATTAAAATATTGGAAGAAGAATAAGACAAAAACATTAAAAACATACTGATATATATAATACAAACATGGGGAAAATAAAATAACATAAGTAAACAAAATCATTTCTGGGGGAACTTTAAAAAGTTCTCTTCTCTACATTTCATGATCAATTGGGTTGGGAAAGCAGTAGGTGCTTAAAACGGAGAGATTTAAATGAGGAAACTGATTGTGCATGTAGGATATTGGGAGGGATGGTATTCCAGGAGATGGCTTTAATTATAAAGGATTTGTCAAATGCAGTGTGCTGGTGAGCAGGTGAATAGAGGTCAGAAGTACAAGATCTATAATGGAATATTTAAATTGCAGGCTGTGAAAAATATAGGAATGTCGCTGACTTCTGATGGCTTGATATAGAAAGATAGCAAGGAAGTACAGACGGCGGTTGGATGGATAGAGCCACTTCAACTTGGTGTAATACTGTGTTATATGCATATCTCTTGAGATTCTGAAAACAAAACATATTGTGCAGTTTATTAGGAGTTAAAGTTTGGACTCAAATTCTCCTGAGAGTCTGCCGTACACCAGACAGCCATAGTTGAAGGAGATGATGGGATTTATACAGAAGGAGATAGCGGAGACGGTTAAACTGTTTCAGGGCAGAGATAGTACAATGGGAAATTTGGGAGATGTGTGGTTTCCAGGAGAGGGTTTGATCAAATGTAACACTAAGGTTTTTTACGGAAGTATGGAATGAGACAGGTAAGTTGTTCAGGAAAAGATTGGGAAGTGTCTGTGAGGATTTGAGGAGTGAGGGAGATCCGATTAGGATGGCTTTCGTCAGTTGTGCCATACAAATTTTTGAGGGAGTCATATTTTAACAGGGTTTAAGAATTTTCGAGGGGGAGACGATTCAACGGGGTTATTAATTTTCGGAATGAAAAGTTTCATACTAAGGGACAAGAGGAGAACATGGAATAGACCACAGCAAGTTTAATTGTATATGATCTACATACATATGTGGCGTGACGTCCCGTTACCAAGGCTGGGCCTCCTCCATCCAATTGGCTCTATCTTCTGTTGCAGCTTTCCAGTTCTGTATGCCAAGCAGGGTTTTTGCATCATAGGCCACGCTGTCCAGCCGTCTCGTCCTCGGCCTTCCTACCTGTCTTGTGAGGTGCAGCTTCTCAATCATTATTTTTTTTGGGTATTTCAAAAGCACTCATTCTGGCCATATGCCCTGCCCACCTTAATCTGGCAAGTTTAATGTAGGTGACTACATCGATGTCTGTATAAAGAGAACTGGGGTCCCTATTTTTCTTTTCCTCTAGATATCACCCTCCTTTACTGGGCCATCGATCTTTCTGAGGACTCCTCGCTCGAACACACTCAGCTTTATCTCATCACTTTTCGTCATCGTCCAAGCCTCTGAGCCATATGTCAAAACTGGCCATACAAGGGTCTTGTATATAATCAGCTTTCTCTTTAAGAGATATCTACTCCTAAGGTGTCGGCCAAGTGCAAAGACACATCTATTGGCAGCCGTGATCCTTCTCTGTATTTCTTGAGCCATGTCATTCTTGCTATTTACTTCAAACCCAAGGTATATAAAGTTTTGTACTCTCTTAAACTTAAAAGATTCTACCTCAAATGGAGAGTTCATATCACCTCACCACCAACTCTCATATACTTGGTTTTCTTCTTGTTGACTTCTTGACCAAGTTGTTTTGCAGCTACTTCAAGGGCTGTAAACGCTTCTCTGAGAGCCCTTTCATATCTTCCTATAATATCAATATCATCAGCAAAACCAAGAAGCTGTGTCAGGTGATTGAAGATTATGTCTCTGGTCTGAATGCTGGCTTCTCTTACAGCTTTCTTCTCTGCCAAGTTGAATAATAGGCAGGTGAGGGCATCCCCTTACCGAACTCCACTGTTCATTTCAAACTCTTCAGAGGCATCAGGTCTGACGCGTATTCTATATTTCAAGCTGTCCAGGGTCATCTTGATTAGGCCTATGAGCTTCTGAGGGATGCTTAGCTTCTCCTAGGCACAGTGTAGTTGTGTCCTATCAACGCTGTCGTATGCTGCTTTAAAGTTCATGAATGAACGATGGGTGACTACCTTAAGCTCCATACTCTTTTCTTGGGTGATTCTGAGGGAGAACATTTGATCAGTGGTTGAGCGTCCTTGTCGAAATCCAGAGTGATATTTCCCGTTCCTTTTCAACATGCAGGAGGATGCTCTCAAAAAGAATGTTAGAGAACAGCTTATAAGCACACAAAAGGAGTGAGATTCCTCTATAGTTAGTGCATTCTGTTTGATCTCCTTTCTTATGTATTGGACAGATAATGACTGTTGCCCATTCCGTAGGCATAGCTTCTCTCTCCCAGATGGTCAGCATTAAGTCATGGAGAGCTTTCTTCAGTTCTTCATTCCCACATTTTAACAGTTCTGACTGGATTCCGTCCAGGCCTGGAGCCTTCCATTTTCAATTTTCTCAGGGCGTTTCCATTTCATCCTCATCCGGGGGTTCCATAGAATTCAGTGAGTCTTCCGTATAAGATCTATGGTTTTTCTATTTCTGCTCTTACTTGCGTTGTTTTTTGGAAAAGGCGATCAATAAAATATCTTGGGAGTGGGGGAGTAAGTTCTTGCACCATCGATCTTGGGGGAAGGGATGGGTACCCCTGCCTAAACCATTTATTTATCATGGTGAAAAAATATTATGAACAAACTCCAGAGGTGTTATTTTTTATCATTGTCATGTTTCCAGTTCCCAGTATTATTATTATTCCTAACTCCAATTCATAATAAGTCAAAAACTCTTACTCTTAATTTATTAATTTCTAAGTCTTTTACAAAGACTATATATATTATATATATTATATATAAGACTATATATATATTATTTTTTAATTAATTAAAAAAAAAAATCAGTAAATATGGTTTTGTTATTGTTCGCAGTAATGGACCTGATGTTCATGTTTCATTAGTGGATAAATTGATGAAATCAGTAAAATTATCAAACAAGGTAATTCATTTTTATTCAATCAAATTTATTATTTGTAGAATAGATGTGATATTATTAAGCTTTTTTTTTATTAGGAGTTTCCAGTAATAGTGGGTTTCCTTAACCTAATCCTTGGATGACTTCTTTCCATAATATCCTATCTAAGGTCCATTCTTCCCGTAGACCATGACCCATCATGGATTCCTCTACTTTGTTATCCCAGGTCTTCTTCTTTCCCTAGTTTTCCATAACTTCTTTGGGTATTCTTCCTTCAGGCATTCTTTTCAAATGTCCATACCTCTTCAGACATTTTATCTCAATCTCTTCCAGAATGGTTCTTTTAGCCTCCATCTTTTCTCTTATGGTCGTATTTCTGACTTTATTCATTCTGGATATTCCCGCCTCTCGTCTCCAGTAGTCCACTTCGGTGGCTAGAAGTTTCTTCCTGAGGTTGCTTTTTATGGTCCAAGTTTCTGACCCATATGTCATAATGCTCAGTACTATACTATTGTTGATTTTTTCATATTTAAGGCAATAATACTTCCAATTTTCTTCAAATTTTTTAAATTGCATTTGTTGTCTCTTACGTTTCGGGACAATTTTCCCATCATCAGAGCAATCTTTATCTTTACTGAAATTATGCACATTTTATATTTACTTTTATTTAACAATATCGTTCTACTTTTAATTTAATACAATTATTTACCTTTCTTTTTTTGATGTGGCACCATTTGTCAAAAATCAAATATTTGTCACATTTTTAAAACTATTTTTTGGTGTTACACATCTTTATATATTCACTTATTACTAATCAACATCTGGCTATCTTTAGTTTTATTTCTGTACTTTGTACCTGTCCTATTATTTCTTATTATAATTGGTAAATGGTTGACTGTCGTGGATAATGAAGAGAAGAATAGTTGGGATGGTCAGTCAAAAAGAAGGCAAAAATAAATGATAATATTTATTTTTACATATGCCGACGTTTCGACCTGAAGTTCAGGCCTTCATCAGGGCTAAGAAATAACCAGATAACAAGGTATGAGAAACATAAGTAGTGATGGTAAAAAAAATATAAAGAAAAAAATTATTTAAAAAAATAAAGTAAAATGAAATTGTTAGAATAATGATAATAATAAGAACTAAGAGATAAATAATAATAATATTTCTTATTATGGCTGTTTGTTGTGTTTTTTTTTGGCTATTGTTTTTTTTTAAATTTTAATATTGGATATTATGTCCGAATAGTGTGTACCTAAATGTTTTGTATCTGTTTTATAGTTTACTGTTCTATTATTGTTTTTTGTTATATGTACAGCTTCCAGCAGTTTCCTATTATTTATTTTAGGTTCTATTACTAGTATTTCTGGGTTTTTGAAGTCAAAAGTGTGTAGTGATTTAATACTATGGTTTGATGTATGTTGTGCTACTCTGGTTTTCAGTTTTTTTGAAGTTTCACCTATATATATTTGTTGGCAATGTTGGCAGTCTAATTTATAAACATTTTTCTTGTCCAGTTGTTCTACCTTGTCTTTTGTGTTTGTCAAGTATTTACTTAATGTTTTATCATTATATATGCCAAACTGGGTTTCCGGTAGGTCATAGTTTATGAATACTTTTTAATTTGTTTTGTAAGTTGTGGTATGTATATCATTTTGTTAAATATTCTTTTATTGTGTATTTTGCTTATTTGTGGATCATTGTTTTGGATATTATCATTTGTTGTGTCTGTCTCCTTGAAAAACTGTGTAATGAATTGTTGTTTAGGTTTTTTTTGTTGTTCGATATTATTTATTTGTGTTTTTGGTATTTCTTGTTCTTTGTTTTTGTTCCAATTTTGTAAGTGTATTCTGTTGTGTGCTCTGCTGTACATATTTTATTTATTAGTTTAATTGGGTAGAAATTATAAACGCATGCTTTCTAATAAAAAAAGAAAAATAAGAAGATAACTATTGTTGATGTTTTTGTTTTGTTTTGGGGATAATTTTCCGGTTCCATACATTTTTTATCATTGCCATATCTGACAGAATTACTAATAATATATTAGAGTTTAAGAAGAATCAAAGTAAATTTTTATATGTAATACATTTTAATACTGCTTCAACATTTTCAATTTCATCATTTCTTATTTCCTCCAAAACATCCAAACATTTTAATGATGTGCTTGTCATAAGTTCATATTTTTTTTTTTTTTTGTCACGTCTTTATTTTTCATCCTTTTTTTAATTTGAACTTTTCTTACACTTAATGATTTTAATTTAGAATCAACGTTCACAACAATGACGACAAATAACCTGAATTTAAAATAAAAATTAATTCTATGCTAAGAAAGGGATTTAGAAAATCTCACTCCCGTGCGAAGCCCAATTACTTCTTTTTATACAAGACCTTCACCGAATTTCCATTGCTTTGTGAACAATTTTTTTTCTTATTTAATTATTAATCATTTTGATATACCTTAAGTAAAAACCCTCTTAAATGGTAATTACATTTTATATTATTTGTGTTGTTTTGACTTTTTGTTCTATTTATAGAAATTTTATTCAATATATACCATTTTTTTTTTCAATTAAATTCCATGTTTCCAAAAAAATAAAAAATTAAATATATAGATATTTTTGATACATGGAAGTTCAATATACAGAGGTTTGGCTGTAATTATCACCAATTCAATTTTTCCAGTATCTTCAGACTGTGCTCAGAGACATGGCTGTTCTGGAAGCAAACATCTTGAAAAGTAAAGAGCCTAAACCAAAATTTTACACACTTCATAGGTAATTTTTCTCTACTTTTCCTAAATTTATACAATACATACCTTGGCCGCTTATTACAGGTTTTCCCTACTACTCCTCTTCCCTCAGCCTTCGTTAACTGACCCATGTGAATTTGTAAGATGAATTTTATCGTTACTTCCGATATTTGAATTTCATTTAATAATTCATTGTATGGGCAAAATAGGACTTGCTTAGACAAGTCTCAAAGAAAAAAGTAATGAGGTTTATTTAATTTTTTTTTTTTTTTGTAGAAAAGAAGCTGAAATGGACTTCATAAATGCATTCATTAAAGCTGTCAGTGATACGGTAATCATTTAAGTTACTTTTTATGATTATATTTTTTCATTAATTCACACTTTCTTATTAGATTGTTAATAGATTATTTATTTTTTTTATCCACTAAAATTTATGCTGTATCATTGAATTAGTCTTTCAATTGTGCACAGATAACTTCACAGTCGCTGGTTGATTAAAAAAATGAATGTTCCAATAAGGTATGCATACAAATTGTAAATATTAAAGGCACCCAATGATGATCAATCCAAAGGGAACGATTTAGTGGAGTGAAGATATTTTCAAGGACCTAATAACAATCTTCCTACTCTATTGTTCCATGTTTCACTTACAGGTACTGATTTACACTCTTACAGGCCATTTTCAAAACTATTTCAAGGAGTAAAAGTACTACGATTCCTGCCATTAGTAAGAAACATTATCTTTGATATTTATAAAAAATATTCAGATAAATTATACCGTCAGAAGGCAGGAATTACCGACTTTGTTTTCAAATATATTATTATTTACCTTTTAGTTGCGCAAAGCCTGAATCAAGGTCAGGTCCCATGTGCAAGGGGTACTATGAATTGCTCCCACATTTTACATTAAAATATGATTTTTTTTATAACTGACTTATACGTTGTTCTTTAATATGATATTTAGCTCTTATTTCAATAAACAATATTTTTTTTTTTTTGTAATTTTATAATTTATTGTCTTAGATTAATTTTACATTATACTGTTGCATTTACATTATTTTTTTATTCTTCATTTGAATTTTTTTAACTAACCAATTTCTGATAATGTTTGACATAGAAAAATTTTAAAAACATTTCATGGTATATTCTTCAATAACATACTTACTATAAAAACAAATATATACATCAATTTTCAAAAATAAATTCTAAAAAACCTCACTTCAGCTTTCACACTAATTCACACAAAATATTACCAACTGGTGTTAGTTTTATTGCTTCACTGTATTAAAAAGAATGGATATAAATGTTTCATATAGGGGTGAAAGCAGGTATAGGAAGAGCTGAGGTCAGACCCCTCACCCTATCTAGTGGTTCCAGCAAAACCCACGACTCATGGAGTACCCAGTAGAGAGCTGTGCAATGAGCCGGAGTATTGGTTTTACCAACTAAAGGATAAAAAGCTGAAGCCAATATATTGGCGCTGCGAGCCAGGAGCATGGTCTTTCCGGAGCCACTATATTGGCTTTGCGTATCTAAAGGGTTAATACTTTGCTTATATCTTTCTTTCATTAAAACAAGATAAGTTGGTCAACCCGCATTATATATATACAGTCTTCTATAATACCATAATTAGCTGAGATAAAGGTTATTGTAATTCATAAACATTTTGGTTTAAAACATTAATGAAGTTATACAATTTTATTTCATTGACCAATTACAATTACAGGAAAAAAAATTAATTATTCCTACTTCTTATAATTAAAAAAAAAACAACCCATGAAAGGTCTTGGTACATTGTAAGTATTGTTTCTAGGTCAATGGTTGTGCAGTGAGGTTATCAGACCTGGAACATACTTAACCATTTGCTCTGGATTAGAATTTTTTTTTGTAGAGAATTTAGTAATCTTTCAAATCATAATAATATAAAATCAACAAAAAATTGTATACCTACTGAGTTATTCACAAATAAATTTATTTCTCTTCATAACTATTTTTCCTTAAAGTTCGAGTTGCTGTTTCTATTTTTCTCACCTGAAGATCTTCAAAATGAGGAATTAATCATTGGATTTGATGAAGAATTGACAAAGATATGGCATACAGACAGAAAAAAATCTTTGAGAAATAATATGAAGATTCTTTGACTACTGCTTTGGTTTAGCAATGGTTAAAAAAATTCTTGTTAAGGATTGATCTTATTTTGTTTTTCATTCCACTTTAAAATCTTCAAGTTTATCAAGCCAGTTCATGAACAATTTACATTCAAAATTGTGGGTTAATGGTTGACTGTCGTGAATAATGAAGAGAAGGATGCTTGGGGTGATCAGTCAGAAATAAGAAGACAAAAATAAATAATAATATTTATTTTAACATTTGCCGACGTTTCGACCTGAAGTTCAGGCCTCTTCCAAAAGCTGACGGAATAGAGTCAATTTTTCTGTCAGCTTTTGGAAGAGCCCTGATGAAGGCCTGAACTCATAGGTCGAAACGTCGGCAAATGTTAAAATAAATATTATTATTTATTTTTGCCTTCAATTTGCATTCAAATTTATTTACTAATTCTGGACACCATACAGACTTATAATTAATAAATATTTGTTTTAATGTCCCTATTAATATAATTTCTTTATTTCCAGAGCATTCTTTTATTTATAACAATCGGAGATGAAAAAGAAGTTGGTTATGCTGTTTTACATGGAGAAGAAAAGCTCATAGCTGAATTTGGCCCTAAGTAAGTGTGAAATTTGAGTTAATTTGTTTCAGGTACATATTTTTTTTCCTAGCATATATTTTAAAATAGTGGATAGATGCTTATGTAGCATGCTTATTGCTTAATGCTTATGTAGCAAAAGCTGAATGAAGCAAGTGGTGAAGAAGGTATGGCATGAATCGGATTCACATAAATTATTACAGTATAGAGTTGTGGCAGTGGATGGTTTGTGGAGACCATGTCACATTCCTGGACATTGGTCCTTATGAGTTTCAGAGTGAAGACTTACGTGTATCGGAGATCAGAGGTGAACTCCCCAATGATGCGTCATATGTTATCATATGCTATCATAGGCTTTCATAGTCCTTCCAAGTGGAAATATTTCTTCCGGCACATATATCTTCTACAAGACATTGGTACACTCAAACAGATTACTGATGTTCAAGCAACTTGTGCGAAGGAAAATATTTGAGCATTAAGAGAGAGAGAGAGAGATAGAAGAGGTCTGAAGTAATAGAGAACTCTATATCTTTAGGGACAATATTGTGAAAATTATATAGCTAGTACAACTTCACTGGGTCAATCATATGGCTCGGATGGGTGACTTCAAGATTCTAAGGAAAGTAATGACAGATGAGTTACAGAGAGGAAGGAGAGTAGGGCGACTCACAACAAGATGGTGTAGAAGTGGATGCAAGGAACTTCCTTATGAATACTATTCTTAAGTTCTAAAATTCTAGAGCTTAACTCCAGGAACTAGACTGCTGCAGCACAAGACAGAGCTGTCTGGTGGAGGCCTAGGCTCGCTAGTGGTTTGTTGTGCCGATTATCTATATACATATTCGTTAAAATTTTAAATTTTATTTAGATGTAAATAAAATTTTACTTCCATAATTTGTTAACCAGTTCTATCTGTTTCAGGATTACTGAACTCTTATCTGCTAAAGGGAATGGTAAAGGCAATAAGTATCAAGCTAGAGTTGCCAACATGTCTAATAGATCAAAAGTCATTAGTTTAATAGAAAAATCCCTCGATTCTGCTTGACTTTGTTTATTTCATTTACTTAAAATTGTTCAAAACAACGTTTTATTGTGAATTGATGAATGTTTTTGTTTTATTGTCAAGTATTTTTGATGAATCTGAAATACAATTGTTCACTGAAATTAAAAACTTGAACTTTTGTAACAATACCTCCTAGTCCATATGATTCGGTATGTAGAAATTTCATGCTCAATTTCATTCATATCCACATATATTATTACAGTAAGGCTCAAATACCATGAATGGAGTACCGTTGCATTCAGAATTCACAGGGGTTTAGCGAATCGTACTCTCAGCTTGTGTTTCTTTCTAAAATAAATTAAGTCGATACAAACATTTTGCTAGGCTTCAATACTGCAACGGTGGTGTCAGTAGATCGATACAGGACAAATCGGGCTTTGAAGATTTTGATGCGTACAGCAAGACCATGATAGTTCCTCCAGAACTATTGGACCCTGAGTTTTTAAGCCAAAAAACTTATTTTCGAGATAATACAAGCCAAGGGTTCACATCCTCCAAACCGAAATAGTAAATCACCCCAAAATTTCAGGCAAAAAAGTTATGAAAGGAAAGAAATTTTATTTGTGAATAACTAAAAAATTACACACTTTTTCCTTGGTTATTTCCATGTTTTTATATAAAAGATTTTTAGCAAAGATTGAAATTTTTAAACATGTTGGTTCCAACAATCAATTTTTTTTTTTTCTAACCCTCCAAAATGTTTAATTAATCAATTTACATATATAGTATACATAAGAATACAATATATACAAGTAACAAATTCCTTCCACTGCCCGAGGGCATTTTAAGGATTGGGGATAGCTAAGTGTAACATGTGGCAGAAGGCCTTATGACTTTCATTGAACGGGGAAGGACCGTTCTGCTAATTATTTATTATTTACAAAATATACACATTAATGGGTTTGGACCGCAGAGTCCAGACCACAACCTTCGGCGAGTATGTCCACCAAAGGGAGTTTACCTTGCCACCTCCCAGGTCCCCTCGGTACTTGAGTTCATAGGCCGGAGGCACATCAAATTTTTTGATGGGCTGAAGGCCTGTGCAAACCCACTGTTTAATAAGATCACACCACCACCAAACATTAATAAAGTTTTAAATTAATTTTTGTTTCCTTTGTCGATTATATTTAGCGAGAACGTAACAATTGATTTCTATTATGATATATGCATTGTTTTATTTTCTTATTAATTTATTATTTGATCATTAAACAATAAACTGCGAATTTTTGCACAGGCCTACTAGTAGTCTATAAATATATTAATGAAGAGAAGAATAGTTGGGGTGCTCAGTCAAAAAAATAAATTATAATATTTATTTTTTTGCCTTCCTTTTTTGACTGAGCACCCCACTATTCTTCTCTTCATTATCCACGACAGTCAACCAATTACCAATTATAAATATATTAATTCATCAATATTACTGACTTTACAGTCAAATTTTCCAGTTAAACCACGTTACACAAAATTGAATGTTTTTTATTAGTTGGTCCTGTGTAAAATTAAGAAACAAAATTATTAGAAATAAAATCATACGATTTTTTAATTAAGAATTTGACCATGTATGCTAAATCTTGCAATAGTTAATGTCTTCACTCAGTTTTCTGTTTCTAAGCCAATTGTTTTGGATACGAGTAGAAAAGTGTACAACGCAAGTATATTTTCAGTGCTGTGATTCGGTATAATTCATACTGTAAATTTTTGTTTCTATTTTATAAAACTTGATGTTTGTATTTGTATTTAAAATAATCTACGCAAAAAGTTTTGGTTAAAGATTAATCCTTTAAAAGTTATACACAAGAAGAAAAAGAAAACTTGAACCTGATCAAAAATAATGGTATAATATGGATCAGTGAATATGGCAGCTGAGTTCAAGTTCATCACACAGATCAGCAAACTCACACTATTCAGTTGCTACGGTTTGCAATTTTTAATTTTGCTCTTAACCAATCCATTTACCAGGAAAATTGCCCACTCTTGTTACACTTCAATAAGCGTACTGATACGAATCTCTGGATGAGGATGTTACTGTCTCTATGTGGGGAATCGAATCCGTGCCGTAGTGGGTCGAGTATTCGGATAGTGCCTGAGGATTCAGTTTACTTTATATTAGATTGACAGATAATGCTCATCTACCTAATACGAAAAATAGTTTAAAAATTAATTGCATTTATCATATATATAATTCAATTTAAAAGCTTTCAACTTACTCAACTCACACTGCAAGTAGTGACTGTCGAACTAGTTTTAAGCCTTGCCAGGCTTGCGGTAGTGAAATCAATGAATTACTTCAGCTGCCAGAGAATTAGTTGAGATTTAATTAGTCAGTGAATCAGCTATTGATTCCAGTATTAGTGAGTTTTTAAAGAAAAAGGCCCAAATCAGTGTTAATATTACATTATTTTCTTACATGTCTATTATATTGGTATATGCAAGTCTTTACTTTGAGTAAGGATTCTATATTACAGTAATTTAAATTGTAATTAGTTGATAATAATAACTGAAAAAATTAGTTGTCATGCTTGAACAAAACTGCCAAAAAACATTAAATTGTATTTGGCACCAAATAGGTGCCATACAAAATACTTTATTTTATAAAATGTTGTAATGTAACATGCAATAATATTATTAAGGTATTCAGAATTAAAGGTTCTATCTAAATGGCATAAAAAATTAATGAACTATTAAAAAATCATTGGTTATTTTATTAACAAATATCTTAAATACAAAGTCGCATTGTTTTCTTTCGATTTGTTAGCTCCATCACAGATTCTCCACCCAATTCTTCACCTAAAATAAATAAAAAAAATGTAACAGCCTTAAAAAAATAACAAACTAAAACCATTAATTATTAATAAAATTATATGAATTAAAAAATTACAGGATTGATAGAATTCCTCCCTAAAATGTAAAATTTTAAACAGGATGGCAAATAATAAATTTATAACAATAACTTATGAATGAATAACCTTAGAAATGTAAGCTACATCTTTCTTAACCTACAACTTATGTTGAAATTAATATGACTTGGTGCCTAAAGAAATCTCATCACTGATGAGTTATAAATCAATGGAGGTCAAATCTCAAAAAATAAATATTGTTCTTTGCAATAAGGAGTCATAAAATGATGTGAAAATTTAACCAATAATGTTTGAAGTATCCATAAATAGGAAATTCTAAATAATTATAGTTCCTTAAATTGTTTCTAACATTGTACCACACTAAGTACATACATCTCTTACAGTTTCATTATATGGGGGATGCTCGTTTTAGTGTCATTAATCTTTTTAAATACTATACAGCACAATGTGGACACATTTCATTTAACTGTCTTGCTGTATAGTAAAAGTGTGGGGATGGGGTGGCCGAGTAGGCTAATGCGTGTGCACAGCACCTCCATTGCCCCACAACCAGATAAACATACTAGTAAAATAATTAAGAGTTTGCGTCCTGATGCCGGAGGGGCTTTTAACTCTGGCATTGATCGCCTGCCTGGAAAAACCCACCTATAGCCTAAAAGGAAAGGAAGGGTGTGGACAAAAAATAAATAAATGTAAAACTATTCTGCTGACGTTCTTTGATAATCCTTCCATTGATCTTAAAGAAACACACGACACGTTCTTCCATCAAGTTTGACGTTTTCTCTTATAAGGAATCTATAAATAGGGTAAGGTAAAACATGAAACTTTTTTAAACAGAAACTTATACTAAACAAATATACTATAATTTTGACCCAGTTTCTCAGAAAAATACAAGAAATAAAACTGAACAATACTTTTGTTATTACTATTAATAAGACAATAATATTTGAGAAACTATTGTTTGCTACAATTAGTTTCCAATGTTAGAAACTGAAACAAAGTAGAATAAACAAATAATCCTCAAAAGGACCATATCATGAAATGAACAACAATCATTAGAACTGTGAACACTATGAATTAATACGTAAGAACACAGAAAATAAAAGAGAAAATAATTTTTAAGAAAACAAATTAATGAGCCAATTAATTTAGTTAAAGTGAGAGATTCTTTGCAAAAAATAAATTGTTAATATAAAATCAGTAAAATAAATCCCCAAAAAATAGAACTATTTTTTTTAAAAATGTTTACATTTTTGAAAGTTTTACCAGATTGTTAAAGGAAAGAAGGTCCTAAATTATTAAGCTATTATTATGTTCAATAACAAATGAGGAAATCTATCTTCTTTAAGTTAAAAGAAAAAGATACACATATTCTGACTTAAAATTAGAAATATATCTGATTACTAATTTGAAATCATTTATAAAGAATAACTAAATATATCAATGAAACACTACTTATAATTATTTATACTCCTTTAAATTTATCTTGACCTTTGTGTATCAATAGCAAAGATCATGTTATGGACACAAAAAAATATGGTTGTTTTCACATGTTAGAACTGCATGAAAATTTATATTTGAGTAATGACCAACTAAAGACAAAATTACTATGCAGTTGATTGTTGTATAAAATTATAAATCAATAGATACCATTTCATATTAATATGAGCAAGTTTGACTAAAACTAAATAGCTTTATAAGGCATGGGGTCCAGTCCTGTCATGATAACAAGTACAAGTTCATGAAGGATGTGGAAATTGTATAATTGCTGCACAATCAGTATGAAATAAATATTATTCCACTAAATATTTTCTTACCTCAATCTCCTAGCTTCACGTTCGGATTCCAGTAAGGTAAGAATATCGCCTTCCCTGACGGGCCCTTTAACATTCCTGATGATTTGACGATTTTGGTCTCCGATAAATTCAACCTTAACTTGAGTACATTGTCCCTGAGAGCCAGTACGGCCAAGAATTTTAACAACGCGAGCCAAAACGTCAGGCTTTTCCATTTTGAACAGAAAACTTCTGAATGCAACAACACGTGTGTCAAGCTAACCAAGAGAAGAATGGCTGATGGCTACACTGCCTGCTAAACTGATGAAAAAAAACATACTAAACCGATGTTTATTTTGAATAATATAAATTTCTATTAAAATTGTAAATAATTTTAAATTAATTAATTTAAGTGCATGGATTTTATTAAAATAATAAATTTTATTTTATTTTTAAAGACTTTTTATCAGAATTCCCAACTTCTATTCACATCTCATTATCAGCTGTTGTCATTTAACTCAATCAAGTGTAGGTTATTGTGTATTGGCTCAAATCATGTGTTGGCTTTGTATCAATGTTATTGAGAAATATTGGATTAAGAAATGAAAATTCATCATATGTCTGAAAATGTATTGTCTTCAGTGGCTTATTCCAGTTCTACTGATTCCCAAACCCGTGAATCCTACATTGCTTCAGACTCATGTAATGTTCATGGTTCTTTACTTGACTGGATTTTTCCTTGAAAGAAAACCATGTACAATATGCAGTGTCGTATTCTTGGCAGCAGTTTTCCTCATTTGCTATAGTGGGGTAGGATGCATGTTCTGGAGCAACAACTGTGATAATGTTCGGTGTGAAGATTAGAACACAGAACTACATTCCTTTCATATGATATAATTGTAGATGGACATTTTAAATGTTTTGTATTATTTCTGTGAAAACAACATTCGGCTAGATTAAAATGTATTTGTATAACTGTATTTGTTATAACTTTAAAACAATTCCACTTAATTGGATGATGCGATTTTACCAGAGCATACATATTTGACTAAACTGATCATAGATTTACACAAATGGAAATTGCTATTCATGTATAAACTGTATAGTACTTTAATACTGTTTTATATAGATGAGATTGGATTATATAATGTATATGGACTGTAATTAGATTTATGACCAATTTTCTGCTTATGGCCTCTTACCATTCATTGTAAATAATGATGAAAAATATAGATTTTGTAATATTTAAAAATAATAAAATATGAAGCAACATAAGTATCAAATAATTTGTTTTGCTTTTTCCTACCCAATTATTATCTAAATATTTGTATCATTTAATTATGTTTTCTTAGCAGTTCTTCAATAGGCATCAAACTTATGAAGTATATAGTATTTCACATTATACGCATAAATATCTCTATGTCCTACGATTTTTGGGTAGTGGTTATTTAGTTTTGTAGTTAAAATGAAGTGTTGGTGAGTTGTATGAAAAATAATTTTATAAGTTTTGCAAGGTTCTTATCTTGTATCAAATACTTTTGGTATTGAAATAGTGACTATAAATAAATGTGTGCTGCTGATCCATGTTAAATTGGTCGAAGGGGAAGCTACGTGGTATATATTTAAGATAACAATAAATTTGCTGTATTTTTTCTATATTCTAAATAACTGTTCCAGAACAGATATGATCCATTAGTTTGCATTAACTGTACTAAGCATCTCACTGTTGTTATTTAAGTATACTTCGTATAATATTTAAGAATGACAGTTCAGTTGCAGTAACTAACTAGTTTGACAAATCTACTCAATCTTAATTATATCTATTTAAGTTCAGCTATAATGAAAGTTTTAGGCCCAACAGGTCACAAGGAAAAAAAGTTAACTATTTTGTTGATAGTTTGATTTTTAATACTTGTTAAAATATTGGATGTGCCACAAAGCCTAAAAGAATTCTTGAATGACAGGAAAATAGCTGTTAAAAACATTTGAATTTAAAAATAAAATAAATTTCTATAACAAAGTGTAAATAAAAGGTGTTGCCAATGACCATACAGGATAGATGCAGCGATAAGTAATTAAAATAATATAAATATGAAGCCACTTTAGAATTGTTTCTCTGAAAAGCTGTAAATGTTTGTAGAATTAATAAATTTTTATTTTTCCTACAAGTGTAGACAGTTAAAATGAAACTGACGGATCACATTAATTATAAAACTATCATAATGCAGTATAGTATTTCTTTTAAACTGATTAGATTGCCAATGACCCTACAGGGTAGAGGCAACAAAATACCAAATAAATAAATAAACTGATTATTAGTCTAAATTCTTGAAATTAGTTTGGCTAAGGTTCTACAAATGTAGTCATCAATCATATTTTTTATTACTTGATCTTCTGACATACATATGATTCATAAATATCATTTTTTAAATTTAAAAATTTTCTATACTCCAAATTACTTATAATAAAAAAATCCTGTATTTTAATGAGAGGTGGGGTCAATGAAAATAAAGCAGATAAATAAAATTTATTTCTAATATATGCCAACTTCACTCGCTCTTTGAAAAACCTTTCTGTACACAATAGTGTTCTAAAGATAATAGTATTCTTCAAACAGTTATCATTTCAAGTAAACCTTCTTCTTCCTCCCCTCCCCTTCTACTAGCATGTGGTGGTCCTCCTTTTTCTCTCAATTGTTCTAGAAATATAACCAAACCTGTTCTATCCAGAGGAGGGAGGGGTGGTTGAGATTCATTCCGTGGGTCCTCCACTCCTGTTATAAACCTTGGTGTAATTGAATCAATACTTATTCTGAAATCATTTTTTCCAAATAAACTGAAAATCCATTGCCATATTTAAACAATTCTTAAGATTTTGTGGTTATGTTCCACCTTAAAACCCACCAACTCCTAGTATATTCCCTCATTTTCTTCCACTTTGATTGTCTGTGCCAGGTATATGATGTATCTGGTAGTTACAGATGCACTATCTGGTATCTGGTAGTTACAGATGCACTAGAACCTGTATCTGGTAGTTACAGATGCACTAGTACCTGTATCTGGTAGACAAAAGATGAGAATGAAGAGACTTATGAATTTTTCATTAGATTGATCTTCGGATTCCCGGACACTTCTTCATCTCCAGTTAGTACACTAAGTTAAAATGGCATGTTCTTCTTTTGAATGGCAATACTTTCTCAGTATCTATTTTTTCAAATTGCCTGGGACCAAAGGATGTCCACTCTTAAATCAAAAGATCCCAATCTACAAACTTAAAAATCCATTCTCACAGAACTGCTTCCGTAGAAAATTCCTTTCATTAGTGGTACCTAGCTTTGGAATTCCATATGCATCTCCATTGATAAAACCTCATATTTGAGTTGATTTGAACATCAATTATTTCTCTATCTTTCAAATATATGCAAGAGCAGTTTTTTTTTTTTTTTTTAAATTGTGTAACTACAAATGATAGTGTTTTGGATTCAGTATTTGGCAATGAAGTACCGTTTCTGATCCAATAGTTGCACCAGGAGATTATTTGATCACAGGTAAAATTTTAAATGATGAAATTTAGCTGATATACTAGTGAATTATCAATTAAAAATTGCAGTTAGAAATACTAATAAGTTGGACATCATGTATTATTACTATTTAGTTAGTTACTCTAACTATACAGTTGAACCAATGACAACTTATGGAAATAATAATTGATATTATACAAAATATTAAGTTTGTGCTTAAACCATAAGATAATGAAATTGACTATTGCTTATGTCTCATCATTTTATTGTTTAGAATAAAAGTGATAAGTCTCAATTTAAATTTCTTATATTATATTAAAAAGATTAGAATTTATTTTAAAATATCTAAAGTAAATTTGATGGCCAGAGATTAATTCATATCCTAAAAGTTAGGCGTTTTGGTATTTTTTCTACCAATTTCACATTTTAGGTATATATATTCTTATTCTTTTTTGTGCCGGCATTTCAGCCCAAGTTTCAGAGGTAAGCAAAGACAAATAACTAATAAAAATTTAAGAAAATTGTAGAGAGTGATAATGATAACATGTAAATAAATAGTATAGTATAATAATATGTAGGTAATTAAACTTAACATAATTAAATACGTGAAATGGGAAATATTTATTATTTCACATTTATTGATGTTTAACTAACTACATATTATTATTATTATTGCTGTCAACTGTTTTCTTAAATTTTTATTTGTTATCTTGTCTTTGCTTAGCCCTGCGATAAGCCTGAAACTCAGGCCCAAACGTTGGCACTAAGGAAATAAAAATAAATACAATTTATTTATTTTTATTTCACCCTTTCATTGAATGAAAATCTCAACCAACTTCTCTTCAATATATCTTCTGAAATCAACAATTATCCACTATTATACTTTATTTATTATTATCATTATTTTTAATTATTTATTTATTAGAAGAAGTATTTATTATTAAAAGAACAAAATAAATCAAATAATTTTGCAGGTGACTCAACAACTTTTTCTGAAGAACCAACTAGAAAGGAGAGGAGGAACATTGGTCAGTATGGCCTGCTTAGCCTAGCCCAGATTCTATTTTTTACTATATAAGTTATTTTAATATTAAACAAATATTATATAATTCAATTTCTTATAAAGTCAACCTACTTGCAAGAGTTAAAAAAATAAAGGATCCCAAAATTCTGGTGCCTTATTTATGATTAATTTTTATTAGCTCATTCACTTTATTGTGTTGTAGCGCATTTAACTTGCAAAACATCACTCACTTCTATACTTCACTCTATTTTTCTGTGAACAGTTTTTGGGAAATAACCAGCATTTTAGTTATTATATGACAAGCTACAAGTTTCAATTCCTGGACTAGAGTGAACAAGACATTAGTCCTCCCTTATTCTTGTAAAGTGTCCAACAAGACTCATCAGCACTGTCTGTAGGGTTTACAGAAAACATTTTAATAAATAAAGCAACAATAAAAATTATCTTAATTGGATCATTTTAATATTTTTCACAATTTTTTTTTATTTTATTTTGTAAGCAAATGAAAATTGGACATATAACAAAGATTAAAAAAAAAAAAAAAAAACCTGTACCACAAACGACCCATGAAGGGTCTTGAATTCAGTACAATATGAGAAAGTACTATTAGAAGGCCAATGATTGTGCATGGAGGTGAGGGGCCAATATCACGCTCAACATATAACAAAGATTATTTTAACTTTTTAAAATACATCCTGATATATCATCGTTAAGTTCTATCAAAGCTTAAGTAATTTTTTGATCAATATGAATTACTTAACTAAATTGGCTATTTCATAGCAATTCGAATGATTGTACAAATCTCAAATATATGTTCTGAAAATGTTTGGTTAAGCAGATATTAATGCTAGATTCACTTAGTTGGTG